TCGCATCGCGCCCAAAGCGAACAGTCGACTCTCGAAAACAGTCGATAGGAAGAGGCATAATCGGTGAACATGAACTTTATTTGCCTGACGTTTCCGATTTCTGCTCAAAGCCGTCATCAGAAACAACAATGCATGCGGCCTATTCACGCCTATGCAAAGGCACAGCATCGAATATGTTAGGGAATGGGCATTTCACTTGTTAGTAGACTAGTGGCCAGTGAAGCATGACTAAAGCACTTATCGGCACACGATTGAAATCTCTGGCAAAACTTTTCAGCCATATCGGCGAGGGTAATGCCGGAAGGTAAATTTACTACTGTCTTACTAGCTGTGGCCAACTGCATATTCTTCCCTTCAGCCTACAACACCTAAATCGCGGACGGACACTCGACATGCGACAAAGATTTTTGGAGTTATTACCATAAATCAGGATGAGTGCCATATTATCAATCTCCAAATATGTAGCAAAATGTTTGCCTTATTTCCAGATGCATTTCGGACGCCAAATAATGCTTAGTCCACCGGTAAGATTTATACGATTTCATGCACCACAAATGACAGTGAATCTGCGTGAGGATATTTAACCAAATTGATGTGTGCATTAAGTATCCTATATCAATATGTGTTTGCTGGGATTCAAAAAAGTGCGCAATCTGCTTCTAAGAATTATTTATGTAAGGCTGTTGTATAAATTGTCTTGCAGTTTTATTTGAAATTTTTAAATCATGCTAGGACGCCGGCTTTAGAATGAGCGTTTTTGTGGTCGCATGTGAAGTCTATGCTCTGTATAAAAGGGCTGCGTATTAGTTTTAATTTTTCCTACTGCATGTCATTTCGTTTAATAAATTCCATATATTAACACGCATACAATATTTACCTTCATGATTGCTTTCTGACAAATTTCGTCCTCTAAAAGTTTTCTTAATGAGAGATTATTTTCTCTTCAAAGGCTTTTAGATTTTTGAAAGAATTTTGACCCACTCATCGTTACACTTTCATTCAGAGTTTTCAAACTGCATGCCGCACACACTGTGAAATTCGATAATCAGAAATTCTTCCATGTCTTTGGGAAAAGACGCGTTCTTTCAAAGTAAAATTGCAAGGAGGCGTAATGTGCTACCATAGGAGTACTTCAAACATCGAATGGAAAAATTATGCTATATAAATATCCAATTTTACGAAATTTAAACTGCATACGCAATTAATTAGAAACTAGTTTAACAGCTTACATCCTGAGTTGACTGAAATACTTCCAGAGTAGTTTGTCTAACGTACAATATTACAATTCTACATAAATAAACTATTCGGATGAAAAGAGTGAATCAGGATTTCGCCAAACATTTAATCTCATAGCATGCTTATGATAATATGCTTAATGAGTGCCCGAACATATCATCAAGAACATAATCGTAAGTATCCTTAAGTAGGAGACACGATAGCTAGAACAAGAGCTTTAATCGCATGCATTTTCTGACTGCTGCTCGAACCCATCATCAGAGACAATAGCAAGCACGGGTTGTACGGGCAAAATAGGCTCCACCTCTTTCATCAGGATCGTTGCACTTTATGTGATGACTGTTGGTGTTGTAATTGCTCTGACTCATTTTCACAACCGTTCCTGGCTTTTGATATAGGTGTTCACTTGTGCGATCCGCGCGTGGCTAATTACTGAGCCTGCGCGTAGTCTCAGAAGCGAGTATGGAAGGCAAAGTTGGTAAAACTTTTGATGGACTGAGGACCAGTGATACAGGACTCAAGCAACTGGCGGTTCACGCGGTTGTTACCTCTAGCGAAAATGTCAGCCCCGTCAGAAAAAAAGCAAACAAAAGTGAAACAAAGAAAACAGTTTGCGGTCGACGGATCTGCTCTCTGTTTACAACCTAAAAGAAATTACCGTTTCTCACCGTTACACCACTTTATTGCCCTTGTTGAGGGAGTAGGGGTGTTCAGTATTCAAACATGGGATTAATTGGCCGCTGTTCCGCTGGCCATCAGTGTACTAGTGAGCGACTAATATTTTCAGAGATTACGCGACAATCGCGTCTTTGCTGACATCCGTGTTGGGGCATACATACATTCGCCTGTGTAGCATACAATAACGGCCGAAAAAATAAACGTCATCGGATTTTGTTTCACCACAGTGAAGGGGCTTAGTAAATATCATCTGCCGTCCGTCCATGCGGAATTACCATTTGACCGAGTCATATCACAGTGATGGACAACCAGAGAGTCGGACAATTTAAAATATTCGCACGTGCGCTGAGAACGAGTACAGGTACTAAGCACTACGAATTTTGTGACGTTCTAGGATTACTCATTTGCACCTTAACGAGGTTCCAACACATATGCCGTGCCAGAGTGGACTAACGCGTCGGCGTTCACCCTGTGAAAATGCAAGACAACTCTTGTTAGAAATAAAGCAAATAATTGCATACAAATTACATGCGCGTGATTATCGTTAAGTCGTGAACGTTATTTAATGGTCAATCTCCAGGTAAATCATTTCAGTACTGTCTCTGGCAAATAACGAGTGTACGAGTGTTGTCCATTTCAGGAGTTTTTCTGATAAACTCTATTTAAAGTTAAGGTTATGCTCATTTAATTAATATCAACACGCCGTGATATCAAAGATAAGACACACGGAGTAATGATTACGTAGAAATTTGTTTTTGCTTGCATCGAAACAACTGATGCTATGCAAAATGCTCAGCGCATTGTTTGTGGCGCTGTATTTACTGGCGTAAATCCGAAGTCATCTAGGTGACAGGAACACTACAAAAACCAACTTAGTGGTGCAAATTTGCAGTCAATGCATTGTTAGGGCATGTTCTTGGGAAGCATATTATGTAAAGACAAGGAAGCAACCAAAAAGACGAGAGAGGCGCTATTTACAACAAATTGCTCCGAGTTGAAAAACACCTTTCTGATAAACATGACCACATAACTAATCATTCTTTGCTAATTTATAAAAATCGTGTTTTCGTGCTTTGAGATGCTAATTTAGGCGGTGGGAATAACTGTCTATGTTAAGTGGGAATGCACAACATGAGAATGTTTGGGAGTCCCTAACACAGAACGTCTTCATAGTGACTTAGTTCATTCCGACGCTCCTGAAGACCTCAATGGCAATGCTTTTTGTAAAATCAAATGGCAATGTAAACGTCTGAATACGTGTCTAGCCTCCAATTGTCAATCGACATTTGAATAGTGGCTACACGTTTAATTGTTTCACCAAATGTCCGACGCGCGTATTACGCGCACAACTGTTGATTGGCGGGTTGAAATGCCGAGCCGAATACCACAACGGTTGCGGCCGTTACAGCCTTGAATGTGCAATAAAATGCAAATAGATTTGCTTATGAGCCGTGAATTGTCAGCAGCTCAAACAGGATGCACCAATATGTTTCGCGCTCTAATAGACATATGGTTTATTACCTCTTGACGATAGGTCTCCTCTGTTATATGTTTACTGCAAGATGGTTGATCGTCATCCACTCGGAGGTTCCCATGATCAGAAATGCAAGTAACTGCCATTCCGGTTGGCAGCGTCTCGAGTACTGGCCTAAGACAAACACCTACGAGTTATCATTCGTAGTTCAGGTTGAGAAGGACAGCCACGTCAGTAGCAGAAGTGCCGACCGGTTTGTCCTCGCTCGGCGAATCCGACGACGTCGCTTACACTGACGAACCTACACTTTTAAGGACATGGCGGAGATTGAGGATTACAACTGGAGACGCCCGATTCCTCGTTCGGCCTACCTGCTCTATCCACAGGCGTTGGATATGAAGCAGGTATTAGCAAATATTAGGAACTGTTCTCCCATACCTGAGATAGGTACGATTACGCTCTATCTATCGTAAGCGAAATTTAAAGAACACCTTTATTACTGTCAAGGCTAATTTTGAATGCAGGTTGTCGTCTAGCAGAATTCAGTCACGAGATCCCTCGTATGTGGCTGTACGCACTTGCTATTTTTGGCCGTCCAGCTGCCTGAATCTTGAACTAATGTGTTTGATGGGGTTCATATGAATTTCCCAACAGGGGGATTTTGTGATCTCATTCGAAGTGTCAGTGTCTTCGAAATTTTCTAGGCAAATATTTACTGCCTTTAGAGTATATTGTGCGCAGCAGGTCATGTGCGAACACAGGCCTCTTGGTTGTGGCATTTTTAAATGCCAATTATTAAAACGTCATGTGCAGGTGATCAGCGGTCTGGAAATACGCAGGAATTAATAAGGCGCATCGTCTTAAATCACGTCAGCCAATTAAGATGAATCAATCAGAAGATCTGTTGACTTGTAAGGCAGGTAGATGGATTAGGATAATCTCAAATATCCTTTACCTTGAAGAATACCTTGTGGCGGAGAGCGTCCATGTTGCAAAAGTCTCCCTAAACGCTTCAACATGCGTTTCTTTCAGTTCAGTGTCCTGCTGTGATTGGTGGATATTTTGAACTTCCTGGAAGATTCGATAACGTCAGAAAAGAATGCCTATGTCTAAATTATATTTGGAATTTCAAATGACTGAATGATTGTGGGCATTAAGTACGTTACTGCTGCAGTAAATTCTGGATTTAAAAATTACCATATTCGGACACCTGGGTGCCGACATAAGATTTCCAACATTTGGACCATCACTAAGTGAAATGCTGGCATTAGCTTATTGGCAAAAGTAATGCGAGAATACCACGCGGGAAATTGTTCGGCTTGGTCACTTCGACAGGAATTAAATTATTAACTGACGAAAATAAATAACACTCATTAATTATATTGCCTCCAATTACTGATCGTCCACTTTCTCTTGGCAGACCCCCATATTCAACCAAACAATCCGATTTCTAAATGTCAGCTCGACCGTCTGCGTGCCAGGGAAACCTGTCAAAAGAAATCTGGATGCTATTGTGGTAGTGAAGTCCGCTGTCTACAATTTTTCTGATCGAGATCGTATACGGAGGGTTTATGCTAAAGAAACCCAGCACGATTCTGAATTCCGCATAGGTATGCTCTTTTCAGTAGGACTACCCCGAAGCCGCGGGGGTCGGTTCTTCCAACGTGACGGTTTCAACATCTCACTGCCGGACCGGGCAGGAGAGGCCATGGAGAAGATGCAAGCAAAGAGATCAGAAGTTCTACGAAATCTGACAGAAGAAGCCCGAGTGAAGGGTGACCTTGTTGTGGGTGACTACGAGGACACCTACTATAACCTCAGCCTCAAATTATTTCACACATTCCAATGGGCTTCTCTTTCCTGTCTTCCGCATTTCACCTCTCAACAACGACTTCCTGCCTTCATATTCATTGATGATGATTTCGCCTTCAATGTAGGCCTTTTGAAGGCCGAATTGAGGGCCCTCACTGACGCACAAATTCGACGGGTTACCTGGGGCTTCCCACATAATAATATATGGGTAAGACATATGTTACCCTTAGGCTTCAACTCAAAGTGGTTCGTTTCCAAGCGCGAGGTGCCCTGGCCCTATCACGCTCCCTTTGCCGCCGGCCAATTTTACGTCATGGGCGCTGATGTTCTGCAGGAAATTGCACTAGCCATGTACTTCACTCTGCAGTTTCCAATAGACGATGCCTGGTTAGGCTTGGTTATGACGAAGTTAGATCTCTACTTTCAGTCTCGTCCATATATGTACATAAATGTGCCTCAGGGTGTTAGAAAAGATTTGGTTCTGTTTGCACCCCTCGACTACCTCTTTCCTTTACAATGAATTCAAATGACGCTTACTCTATTATTTCCGTGTGAAGACATTCCTAACCGACCCAAATATATCTGCAATGTTACGCTTTTTATAATAATTTCAATTAGAGAATGTTATGTTTTTGGCATATGGTACGGTCGCGGATGAGATTTCATAAACTTGTTGCGTCGATGTCATAATCATTGTTTTAATCCTGCTTGCTTATTTTATGGGTAATCCTAAAATGACGCAAACGTGGAGCTAAAGTACGACTATAGCGATAAGACATTAATGTCACAATAGAAGTGGCTAGATAATGATTCAAGATGTGGCAACAATAAGAAAAAAGGAGGTCAGGTTCCTTAAATGCAGGGATGATTATAATGCCGGTCTCAGGGCTGTAGTGACAGATATCGCCAATTAGCTGTTTGCGGCTTACATGCGTAAGAACATAAATTTTAATTATTCGTCACTTTCGATGCACTACTAAATCTACAAATAGACGGAATAAAATGAACGTCAAAGATAATTGGCTAGATGTTCAGTGTGATCTGATACCAGCCCATGAAGTGCGACCGACGGGAAAGATAAACGTGAAGAATATAGCGTCAATGTGATGGCCTTCTCCGTAACTTTGAATGAATGTGATAATGCTGATTGTTCAATCGGTTAGCCTTCAAAATACTTCCTTACCCAAACCTCAAGCGTAACCTATCGACGAACGTTAAAGCTATCAAAAATATTTGTCAATACGAGATACGAGTTGACATTCAATTATTCTCATCGTATTTGTATCCTGTTAGGTATCGATGTTGGTTTCGATTTCAGCGCTGAAAGAGAAAGTATTTGGCTTACTGCCAGCCTACGGTCCTATTACAATATTGTCTGAACTGCCATTACTGCTACTTCGCCTCACGCCTCGGAATTTGCGACCTAACTTTATATTCATCCCGGCGGTTGTAAAGGCCATGACATTTCATGCAACGAAAAGGCCTGTGCTCCTGCAAACTAATCTATGCCGACGCGATGGCAGTGCTCGCATCTGTTTGCTTCTGTTTGTGCAGTTCATCGTTGAAGAGGCGTTGTGAAGGAATCCTTCAACGACTTCCTGATAAGACGTTGGTTAGAAGCATCCTCATTGTGAGCACACAATATCAGGCGTAATGTAAGTCAGCATGGTCTGTAAAGAGGAAAAGGTTATATTTGCCGTTCTCGTTAGGGTTTTTATTGACAACAAAATTTCGGGCCGATATGAGCTTGCCTTTTGTGTCCGCGTCTACATTTTAAACGCTGTCGTTTGCTCCATTGTCAGTTGCACTCGCTTGTCGTCTGACAGCTAAGTTTAAGAGTTCGGGGCAATTAGTGCTCTAGACCTCTGACGAGTTTCCGGCAGACGCAAACTTAGAGTTGACAATTGGCACAGAGGAGGCCGTTGCATCTTACTAGAAAAATCCGTCACAAATTTCGGCCGGATTCAGGGAAGCACAGGCGTGTTTGCGTCCATGAGAATTGAAATCTAGGGAAATGTCAAATTCATAAGGAAAGAGAGGGCAGTATCTGTGAGTCCACTAGGTAGCCGATATCGACGCAAATGTAAATAATGTGGGCAGGGTTTACGGAAAGGTATCTTCGAGTCGTCCTCATGCGGTGTCCTTGGGTGCCGAGCAACCACATGCGGGCCTCTTAAGAGCGTCGACATTAATGGATGCGAACCAACAGAGTCAACTCGCCGAGGTTTATACATTTGAAGTATATGCCAGAATCCAATATCTCGACTGATTTGTAAGGCAAATGTGCGCCGTGATTGCAGCATCTGCCCTTTTCGAACTTGCCATGTGCTCTTCTTGATGTAAGGTACAGACTCAGAGCATACCACTAAATTCAAGGCGAACGCCTTCACATTCTTTTGTCGCATTTGAAGATTTTGGAGCCGACCGCAATGAGCAACTGACTGAAAGCTTCGAATGGAAGAAGTAGATGCGATCGCCTGGCATTTCGGGTTCTCACTCCAGTCTATCATTAGAGCCGTCACACATAAGGGCAATGGAGGCACAACGATTTAGGTATTTATAGAACGCATTTAGTCGGCAATCATATCTCTACAATTATTTTCGGCACTCGCGTTTATCAGCATTGTTTATCCCTAGTGTGATGAATGATTGTCGGCCTTAACCTGAGTCGTTCATAACCACGATTTCATCACTCCTCGTGATTATTAACTGGACGATTACTCGACATTTGACTCGTTGTCACCGGAATGCCAAGTCGTGCATGACGTCTCCGTGTGGTTAATTAACTTACCCTGTCAAGATCCTCATTTGCTACTGTCGTCATCAATCCAGATGTCATTGCCGAGTAGATGGTTGAGTGTCCTATTTCCCAATTTGGACAATGTTTCCGTCGCTCTTGAATCGTTTTCTGCTAACTGTTTGCATGTGGCTGTAATCCCCTCTAGATGCAGAAGTATTTGGGTCCGTATTTGCGACAGACCGTTGAAAATTCTGTCAATTTCAATTCCGCTAAATAATCCGGCATGCAGAAATTTTACAAGGAACGATGGAGGATGAACCTCCAATCAGTCCCCATTCATTGCGGCCCGACATTTGTATTTGGTGAAGGACTAGATGAGAATGAAACTAGTTACGCATACGTTTCTGTATTATAAAAGTTGTGTGTGCCTTATTTTTCGATACTGATATAAACCCATGACAATTTTTCTTGAAATGCTGCGTGATGGCTTAGTTTATTAGTATTACTGAAGAACGGCAATTTGCAGCCTTTGATAGTGTGATAAGGGGTGAGATAGTAGTCACGTAAGATCCGCATTTGAAAACTGTGAATCCATCTGTTCCCCGAATTTCAAAATATGATCCCGGATATAAATTTAGCAACGAGTGCATTTAAAGTAGATATGCTAATTCATTAAATGTTAGCCAAAATTCTGAAATGCATTTTAGACTTGAGATGCGCACGTAGAATATCTCTACAAAAATCTTATTTCTTTTTCTGATTTGACAGGGAGACACTTGTTCTTCAAATCGTTTATTCAAAGAATGAATTCCCTTCCCGTTCGACAAAAGTGTACAAACAAGATAATTTTAAGACCGTGCAATTTCCCCTCGAGCACCCTTTTAAATAATGCAACTCGTCAAGTAGACAACAATGGACATTCCTATGGCAAGCTGCTGAACCCCATATGGAAGTTGCATAATGGCATAAATTAGTTCGTGTGTTCACTTATATGAAAGGTATACAGCTTTTCAGATTGAGAACCCTTAAACTGACTGCCACGACAGATCGAGTACACGATTATTCGGAAATCTAAAACGATCTTTGAGGAACGAATGATGCTCAATCATTGAATATTTACTTTGAAGACGACATGGTCTATTAGTGAAAGCGCGGGGAAAATTAGATTTTTGTGGAGATTTTTTAATAATTATATTTTTGATTTTTCTAGGACATCGGAACTCTTGCGGAAAAATGCACAGTGAATATGTAGTCAGTTTTGAGCGACTGTGCTTTTTCAGGCGAACAAAAGCCCACTCAACAGCCGACATATCAGGTCATCTTAAATTATTTCAGTCAACATGCAAGACGACAATTTTGAGGCCAAAAATCTCTTATGCGTACTCCGGGTACATCCTTGGTAGACATCGGTACTGACATCAGGACTTACACGCAGGGTCAACCCCAGTTTGTATTTTAAACAATTTCCATTATCAATAAATAAGTTGCCAGGCTTCTCGCCGTTACTGTTAAACATCTTTTGAATTTGGGACGCCCATTAAGTGTTTTGATGATCGGAAAGCATCAGGAACTGGGTCGCTGGGCGCAAGGATTCACGCCCAATCTTTCAGTCCGGAATTCTTATAGACACGCCTCTTGGCCCTACTTCTCGAAATGACAAGCGTTTTATAGTGCATGACCTATCTCATGAAATGTTGGCTGAAATTCTGAAATGCGTTTTCGGTTAGAGAGGATTACTTGGTCGCGGCTGTGATACTGGTTAGCTTAAGGCATACTTTTATAACATTTTGGACTCGGCAGGATATCGGCATTTAAATGCACTTCTTTCTAATCTCCTGTAGAAAGCGTGCTCGGCAAAAAATGACTACTTAAGTAGCATGCATTTTCCCATTGATTTTCGATGGTCTTGCAAATTCAAATATATTTTATAGAAACCACAAACAAAAATATGTTTTCTTTTAGCCAATCAACAGAGAATCACGTCTCCTTTATATGTTATACTTAAGGAAGGAGTATAATTAGGTTTTGAAAAGGTTTTCTAATTGTCGAAAAATTTCGAGCCTGATCATTCGTTGCATTAGCGCTTAGTGATTACACTCTGCAAGGTGCATGCGTTCCGCGTAAAGAGAATCACATATTTTTCTATGTCATTAAAGAGATATCATACAGGGTCTATAAAATTTTGCAATGGATGCGGACCATGTTGCCCATTTCATGAGGAGCAGCGGTATACGGCCAGGTACGATGCTATGTGAATGGACATATCGCGGTCTTTAAAAGTCTCATAATTAGAAACTTTTTTAAACACGAATTATACTCCTTTCTTAAGTATAACATATAAAGAAAACGTGATTCCCTATTGATTGGCTAAAAGAAAACATATTTTTGTTTGTGGTTTCTATAAAATATATTTGAATTTCCAAGACCATCGAAAATCAATGGGAAAATGCATGCTACTTAAGTAGTCATTTTTTGCCGAGCACGCTTTCTACAGGAGATTAGAAAGAAGTGCATTTAAATGCCGATATCCTGCCGAGTCCAAAATGTTATAAAAGTATGCCTTAAGCTAACCAGTATCACAGCCGCGACCAAGTAATCCTCTCTAACCGAAAACGCATTTCAGAATTTCAGCCAACATTTCATGAGATAGGTCACGCAGTGTAAGTACACGATGGAAATAATATGATCAGGACGTTGAGTAACACAAGATAGAAAAATACTACAGATTGATTAATTTTCGCTTATTTCCTATGCTTTTCATCAACCCGCCGAAGCTAAAT